TAGTTACTAATTTTGAACAAAAGTCCACTACGCTCTACACTATCAAATGCGGCTTTTAAGTCCACGAAAAAACAAAAAAACGTTTTGGTTAGGCCTGGCCAGTTTGATATTAATGATGTTTAACAGGACAAATAGATTATCACTTGTAGAGCAACTTTTACGGAAACCCATTTGACGTTCACTCAATAAACCTTTTCTTACTACAAAGGCATCATGCGGGATAGGACTAGAGCAGAGAAAATTTTGGCGATCGAGTCCAGGCAGGAAATACCTCTATAATTATTTACATCACTGACGTCGCCACTTTTGAATAACGGGAAAATGATTGATTTCGAAAAGGATGGAGGAGTGAGACCTGAGGAAAATATAGAATTAAAAACTTGGAGAAGGTATTCACGAAAGACAGGCGTGGAATTTTTATAGATTGGTGGCAAGATGTCCTTACAGAACTTTGTGGTAAGTAAATTTAGGTCATCATTATCCCTAAATGATAAACCATAAAATATTAGGTTACTACGGCGGGTTCTGTAGTCTAATTGTTCCAGTATCTTTTCCTGCTTCAAGGAGTTATCCTTCAGCATGAGGATTTCATTACGCGTTTTTTCATTCTCCACCCTTAGCTGCTTGTTCTCCTCTACCAGTTTCCTTAAGTCCTCCTTTTTGGCTAGAGAGTTTTGCATCCAGAAGTATATCCATCATATCGGTCATCGACTTCATAAGCTCTGCCAGATTTAACCATTCCTTTTGCATAGCCGCCGGAGCAGAATGGGACTCCATTATAGGTTCTGAAGAAATTCTTTTAAAAGACTGATAAGGATTATCTGGAAAATTTCGTTTATGTTTTGACGCTGCCGACGTTGTGGGAGTTTGCGTATTTGGCGGAATGTATGAGGAGATCTTAGGAGGCACGAAGATAGTAAAAATCAACAAATTGATAGAAACCGTCAGGAACGAGCCGGCACAATGTATGTTTCAAATAAAAAACAAAAACAAGCAGCTATTATCACCTGCAGTGTTGTGAGGCCGTCGTTGATAATCAGATGAAGAGACCCCACTCCTAATTACAAACTGAAACACCTAATCTGGTAAACGATCTAAAGCGCCGACCGGTTTGTTTCACCGACCGAGAAAAAAAATTTCGCGAAACAAATTACTTTTTGACACTCAAACTCCGATCGAAGTGGTTACAAGATTATGGGAACTGGTAAACGGTTAATCCAAAAACAGTGTGCCAAAATATAACGCAAAAGCGCATAATGATAACGTGTTTCCATCAAACAACGAACTCTCATGTATTTATTACTGTTCAATGATTTCTTTTTGTATGTGCATATTTAAGTATTTATTTATGTACGTAGGGTTTTCTAAGCGGTGCATACATGCACCTCATGTAATATTTCGTCAGCTTCTATTGTGATTGAAATTGGCTGAATATCTCCTATAAAGCCATTAAAAAATCACATTAACCCTTTTAAATTTCAAATTAACCCTTTTCCATTTAAGTTTTATAATTTTCAGCTTAACCCTTGTTAACTTCAATTTAATATTTTCAAACTTCAAATTAACTTTATTCATTACAAATTAACCCTTTATAACTTCCAACGAAAGTTTTCTAACCTTTTCTACTTCAAATTAACCATTTATAACTTCAAATGTTTTTTATTTTAAATTACCCCTTTTTAACTTCAAATGATGGACTTTGCGCTAATGGTGAAAACCAAGGCAAAAAAAAAAAAAAAAACTTCAAATGAAAGTTTTTAAATTTCAAATTAAACCTTTTTTATCGTCAAATTAACCGTTTTAATCTTCAAATTAACATATTTCCATTTCAAATTAACCATTTCTTTAAACCATTAGAACCTGTATATTTGGGATGTTTTGACAAATTCGATTCAATTCTACTCTATTAAAATCTAATATGTAACAGTAAAATAAAAGATATAATATATTAAAAAAATTAAATATAAAATAATTTGTCTTTGAGAAAATCATTTGAGTATTAATTGCAATTAAAATTAGGAGTGATATAAAATTAGAGGATTATTTTTTTAATCTGACAATGAGAAATTTTTAAAACATACATTGAGCACGCAAAAAATAAAATAAAATGCATAAACAAATGATTTGAGATTTAAAAAAAAATATAAAATTGATTCTTATCTAATATAACACACGAAAATAAACAAAAATGAAAATTATGTTTTTTAAATTCACTAGTTTTCGTGCTCCGCTTGACCAATTAATATATTTCAATTAATTAAGGTTTTTAGTTGAGATAAAAAAGTCAGTGTCACGAGCGGGATTCGAACCCACGACCTTCGGCTTGATACGCCGCTGCTCTACCACTTAAGCTATCTTGATTTCGATCCACTCGGACACTAACTTCCTATCTCAACCGCACCTTTTGAATTTTCCCTCCTTTTTGCCATTTTTCAATTATGTTTTTTGTTAAATAAAACAATCGGTCTTTAAATAAATATTTTATAAACCAATTGTTATCTAAAGAAAAATTTCAAATTTTAAATAACTCGATATAAAAGGTGATGTAGGTAAAGGATAAATCTGAACAGTGTCGTGTGTGTGTGTGCCTTCTTCAACTTCAGTGCCATCTACCGTCAGAAGATACCACATTTTTCACCGAATAAATGGCGAAATGCCGAAAGGGTCGAATTAAAGGTTAATCAGCCAACAGATCATAAGAGCATGCTTCATGTTATTCACTGAAGATGGCGCAAAGCCGGAATGTGTTTTTTCAGCAATTCAAATCTCTTTGGGATCACTGTTTAATTACTTAATGCTTTATTTTGATCCGATGAGGAAAAACAATTTTCCCGAATATCCATAGGAACGTGAAGCTAAATTGTTAGAGGATGTGGGAATAATTTTCCGGCCCGATTTAGAAAAAGTAGAATCCCCGGCCGTTAAAAGGATTAGGTATTGATTTAAAGCTAAACAGACTTTAATTACTTTATGGACAATTGGTTTTATCATTTAGGAGGGAGGATGTAGTGGATCGAACGGTCTTAAATGAACGGAGGGAGCAAAGCCCCGGTGTGGACCGCCGCCGGTATAATCCATTTGAACTTTAAGTACTCGATCCCCTGAATAAATGAACATCTCCAATTAGGAAAAGTAGGTTGGAACTACTTACATACGACATTTGATTCCAGATATTAACTACTCATAAAAATTGTTCATTCTGCCAGAAATCATGCTCATTAAAGACATTCATCATTATTTCTAACCCCATCATATTTAGTGGTCCGAATGACCAAATTACTTCTTTCAATCAATTAATCTTTGTATGTAAGGTCTTGGCTGAAATGAAAAAATTGGTGTCAAGAGGGGGAATTGAAAAATGGCAAAAAGAGGGAAGGTTCGAACGGTTGTAGGTTGAGATGGAGAGTTGGTGTCCGAGAGGATCGAAGTCACGATAGCTCAAGTGGCTAGAACAGCGGCGTATTGAGCCGTAGGTCGTGGGTTCGAATCCCGCTCGTGACACTAACTTTTTCATTTCAACCAAGTCCTTATATAAAAAGATTAATTACTCCTAACATTTTGGGCCTAGTTCCGTCAAAAATTCCAGGCGCGTCGGTGGATATCGAACCCACGACCGGCTCTACGAATGGAGAGTCCATTGCTAGTGTTTTTTCTGACAATTTATTTAAAGTTATGAGAAGAGTAAAACAAATAAATAATTCTACATAGAAGATGACGTGAACTTTTGGATAAACCATGAATATTCAAGGAACTACTTTGGAAATAGTTCAACACACATTCGCTAAATTTGAATATATTTATCAAAAAAGTTTGAAAAATTATCCTGAAATTCGAGAAGTATGATAATTACCAACAAACGTATTAAATATTTCGTTGAATATCTGACAAAGTTTTACTCAGAGCAAATGAAATTAATGTAAATTTGCTAATCTAATTAATTTTTATTTATTGGTTTACTCTCCTAAATATTTTTTGGGGTTGTAAAAATCTAGTGAAAATGTTTAAACAAACGAAAAAACGGCGAAGGATCTCTCTGGGATTTGGTTCCGTTGAGTCTGACCTCCATTTCTATAAACATTTGTCCAAAAAAATTTGCTTCAAGGATGGCAATATTATCTGCATATCTGAAGAGTACTGTATCGGAATGTCTACAGTGCTGAACCCTTGAATGTAATCCTATTGAACCGAGAGTTTATACTTAACCCATTCCCTGATGAATCTATGTTTTTAGGAATTTGGAATGCTGCTAAACGGTTCAGAACCGATAGGTGAAATGACTAAATTTGTTTTGGCAAATTTATTATCCCTAACAGTCTCATTCTGCATTGGCATATTTCTTCTTCTTTTCTGGAAATATCTGTTCAGGCATGTTTCTGCTGTTCATATTATGCATGGCTATGAAGTTTACAGTGTCTAGCGAGCATTCCTACTATCAAATTAGTCCTAACACATTTTCCTATTTGTTTCTGTGAGGAACTTATATACCTTTGTCTTGGAATTCTATTGAACTGAGAACTTATACTTTACCCTGCTGTCTGATGGATCTACGTTTTTAGTGATTTGGTAAGCCACAAAAGGGTTCAGGGACGATACATGTCCTCTATTGAACTTTGCCAATTTATTGCTCTGCCAAAACAGGCATCCCTAGAACCTTGGCCATCTGATGTTCCTCCGGAGTCTTTAATGGGTCATTTTTATTCAATTGGAAATCCATCCCTAAATTGATATCCAGTTATAACATTTATATTTTTTTGTAATAATTGTAATTGGGAAACCGTAAAATAAATGCCAAGTCTAGCGTCTGGACAGTATGATACAGTAGGTGTATTGATTTGTGTCTGGAATACTGTTCTTCCAGTCAATGTGACCAATTATAAGAGAGAAAAGATCGGGTAATAAAAACTGTTAGAACTGTACTGCAGTGGAGGGATACGTATATGACCTTCAAATCTGAATCACAGAATCCAAGAGGACCTAAATGCCGTCAGCTTCTGGGCCGGTGAAAATGAACTCTATCTCAAATAAGTTCCAGGGTAGGGATCCCAACCCCTACTTTCCTCAGTTCTGCATTAACAACCAACCGATCTCCTTTTATCCTTCTGCAACAACCTAAGGATCGTCCTTGATCAAAATGGACTCTTGAAACCACATGTTTCATAAATCTCCTGCAGCTGCTTATCCGCCCTCTGCTAATTCTCATGCAAGCCATCTCTTCCATGGCCTTACCTCCTCCTTCCACCCTCTAAAATCTGGGGTACCCCAAGGCTCTAGCATCTCTCCTATTCTTTTTTCCATTTATATCAATGATCTGCCCGACTCCATCCAGTCATGTAACTATCACCTATATGCCGATGACTCCCAAATATATAATCCTTCCACCCTTCCGATCTTCACTCGGCCACTCTCAAGATCCATAAAGACCTAAACTCCATCAACGTATGGGCCAATAAAAATTCCCTCGTCATCAATCCGTCCAAATTCACCGCCATAATTATCGGGTCCAGGCAACTCCTCAATTCCCTCCCCAGCATCCGACCTCTCATGCTAAATAACCCCCCTCTCATCCCCTTCTGATCTTCGGTTAAAAACCTAGGAGTGGTCTTTGACCAAAACCTTTCCTGGCATTCTCACATTTCCCAAATTTCCCGCCATTCCATTGCCTCCCTCCGCCTGTTTCGTCGGTCCTGGCTTCTCTTACCTTTCTCCACTCGCAAACTCCTTGTATCTTCCCTTATACTTCCCTTTTCGATTATAGCTGTTTGGTATACGGAGAACGCGCGATTGAAGCGTATTATGAATTGTTGCGTAAGATTTGTGTACGGCACCCCACGGGGATCCCGGGTGTCGGGGTTGAATTCTCAACTTTCCTGGCTATTCCCCTCCTTCCGTTCACAGTATTTCCTAGGTTGCTTTCTTTTCCAGTCCATCCACACTCGTCGTCCTCCTTACATCATCTAATCCCTCCAATTCAACTCCTCACATCTCACTCGTCAGACCCGCTCATCCCCAATCGATCTTATCCTTCCGCAGCATTCAACCCATACCTTCGAAAGATCCTTTCCGATCCGAGCCTCTAAACTCTGGAACTCCCTTCCCCTTTCTATTCGTCCTGCTGCCTTCTTTTCCTCCTGTAAATCCCACCTGTATAATCACCTCCTCTCCCTCCAAGCAGAGACCTCACGTTAACATTTGTTATTTTTATTTAATATTCTCGTAATTTTTTCTTCTGTCCTGCCTTATTGGTATACATTGAGCCAAGATTTCTATCTTTTTTTTTACTTTTAACTTCATAGAAGGTACTTCCTTTATTTAGTTCATGTAAATTATTCTTAGGGGACACCAGTCCCAGAATAAAGTTATTTTTCTTCTTCTTCCTAATCAGAACCTGTAAACGCCTGGTCCCCCCTCTTGTGCTTCCCCATTTCTATTATTGCTGTTTTGTCTATGTTGGACTCAACAGCGAGCTGATTAACCAAGTCAAGAGAATCACGATCTGCTTTCTTCGGTTCATATCATAGCAAAGATATCTCATTTGGTTTGAAATGGTACCCCTCCTATCGCAGGATATATTTTCTTGGCTCTTTCTACTATCGAACAATTGCTTCCTATTTCCCTTTCTGTATTTATAATCTGTTAAAATTTAACTCTTCTATACACACTCCCCATACTCGCGACCTTCTGATATCTACCCCCTCATACACTTTATTTGCTCCTCCCTTATGAGTTCCTACGGCCCCTGGAATTACCTCCCTCACGATAGTCGACGTTCTTCAGCCCTTCTTACCTTCAAGACCTTTCTTTTTGATTACCTTTTCCTCCAATTTAACACCGAAGACGTTTAATTTCGTCAATTTTTCCCCTGTTATTTAATATAGAACGTTGCCTTTATTTATATATTCATTTTGAAACGAATTGTGCCAAATTTTGTACATTTCTGTTAATCAAGGGGTCCCAAAACCCCAGCATAAAATTTATTTTCTTCTTTTTCTCCTTAACCGTGAAAATTGCTTGTTCAATTTATTATAATGTAATGATGTAAAAATTATCTTTTTCCTTTCCCAACCCGTTATAACCAATTTATGTGTACATTTTTTAAGGGAAAAAGCTAATTATGCTTGGGCGGTCTCACCTGCGGAGACGGAGTGTTCCGCTGCATATTCCGCTGTATCGCCTTGTCCACCTGGAACTGCCTGAGCCTTTCCGGTTCGCAGCCCTTGCAGAGGACACATTTGGCGTAGGTCCACTTGCAGCTTTTTGCAAGCAGGGTGCCGATGTTGGAGAGAAAAAGGAGGAAAATCGGCATCCCTCCTATAGCGTAAACTATGGTCGCGAACTTGCCCCATTCAGTCGTCGGGGTTATATTCCCGTAACCTGTAAAATAAATTGTAGTTTGTTAATCCCTGCCTTCAAAATACAGTATATATACAGTATAAGGAATAATTAATCTACAACAGTAAATAAGGAAAATTTCGATCATAAATGTGGGTGTGTATTGTCGTATCATCAACCTTGGTTTTCGTTTGTGGCCTCATGAAAAATAAATCTTGAGAATAATTCTGAGAGCTAATCGCCTAATCCCGGAGCTAAGTAGGTACTTGCGAGGCCCGTTGAATCGGAAAGGACCGGATGGATTCCATTTGGCCCCGTTCGTCGTTTCACCCTTGAGCCGCTTAAATGAAACCTGTTTCACAGGTTTTTCAAATCGCCTGGAGAAAATCAATTGTTCCTCCAGAATGGCAGTGCTTGAAAAATTAATTTATTTCAGCTTTCCTCGAAGAATGAGTAAAAAAACACCTAGTAGACGTTAGGACATTTGCGGTTTGTAACGAAAGGAGTTAATTTTTTTAGTGAAACCCCTGTATCACAGCTTCCTCTTTCTTCTCGGGGTTAAGGATGTCGCTGTCACCGGAGAAGTCCCTGTGCCTTGACATTTAGAGAATGGTGAGAACGTGGTATGCGGATGACCTCACTTGAAAATTAGCGGAGCAAGTATACGCTACATTCCCGTAGGAGGGGTCATTCCAATAACTAGGTCTTACAAACGTTCCTGATGGGGAGGGGACTGTACAGCGTCACCACCGTTAAGAAGATACAGTGCTGGGCTGTTTCGCAAGGCTGAGTTAGAGCCTCGCCAGAAATTGGACCTGTGGACCTGGTACGACGGTGCGTCATGCTGCTGCCTCTGATGCTCTACCGTCTCGTGGTCGATGCCCCCATCGACTTGACGGCCCAGGAAGCCGCCATTCGGTGGTGGGTGAAGGAGAAATTTCACCTTCTTCGAAGTAGGCTGAAAGGGCTTACCTACAATATCCAGGTGCCGTGACGGAAAACTGGGGATCCCTAAAGCGCAGCAGTGAGAGCTGGGATGGCTTTATGCGAAAGCTCCGACCCGTGCAAAAGGCGGTTATACACATCCAACCAGGTAATTCGTTCTAACGGAAAGTGTTCAGGTAATAGTGAGCACGGTTAATTTTAATTTTAAAAACTTTCATTTGAAGTTAAAAAGGGTCAATTTGAAATGAAAAAATGTTAATTTGAAGTTAAGGGTTGATATGAAAACAGTTAATTTGAAATTAAAAATTGCTCATTTAAAGTAAAAAAAAGATGATTTGAAATAAAACCCGTATGATTAATTTGAAATTAAAATAGTTCAGTTGAAGTTAAAAAGGGTTAATTTGAAATTAAATAAAGTTAATTTGAAATTAAAAGAGTGTTTTCTTAAATAAAGCAAAAAGAGTTAATATGAGTATTTTTAATGGTGGTGTAGGCTCATTTGAAAATTAACAACGGATAATTAAAAAAAGGTTAATTTGAATATTTTTAAACGTGGTGTATGATGGCCAAAATAACAAGATGTTTTGGATAATTTGGACAATAAAAAATATTAATTTGAAGTTTAAAAAGTTTAAGTTAAAATGTAAAAAAGTTAATTTGAAGTTAACAAGGTTTGATTTGAAATTTAAAAAGGTTAATATGAAGTTAAAAAGGTTAATTTGAGGTGAAAATGATCATTTATGTTAAAAACGGTCAATTTGAAGTTTAAAAGGATGATTTTAAATTAAAAAAGAATAATTCGAAATTGAAAAGGTTTAATTTGAAATTAAGAATAGTTCATTTGAAGATAAGAAGAGATAATGTGAAGTTATTATAAAGATAAAATAAATGACCTATAATATAATTATTTTATATTTTATATAAACAATATAAGAATCATTTGTTTTTATATTTAATTTGAAACTAATTTTAATTGCAATTAACTTATTGTAATTAATTTTCAACTGCTGTTTTATTCAAGTTCCAATTTTTTTTAATTCTCAAATTAAAAACAATCCTTTACATTTATATTTAATTTTACATCATTTTAAATTTGATTGTAATTAACTCTAAGTTTAGCAAATTTAAAAATGAAAAGAGAAAATTTAAAAAACGTAATTTGGAGTAAAAAAAGGTTTAATTTGATGGAACAAAATCTATTACGTTTTACAAAAGCCGAAAATTTGTAAATTCGAAATTTGTAAATCGATTGACATGCCAAAACAATAAAATCCTTTAAGCATGATTGGAAAAAAAAAATTTTTCTGTCAATGAAAGGAAACGCTATTAAGATGTGAATCTGACTGCTCTATTAATTGGGATTTTATAAAGATCATCTAAACGGGTTTTTATAATCTCCCAGATCGTCGTTTGTTTATTGTCAAGGGTGCGAAAAAGGTCTCTATTTTCTATTTAATACTCGGTATCGCTTCTTCCACAATATCTGCCTGCTATAATGAAAAGAAACGGAGTATAATAAAAACAAAACAATAAAATCATTAAGCTTACGCAGAATTATTTCATAATTCATTATAATTTCACGCATCACGAACGCACTCTTTCTCCAATTTTTTTAGTTCTATCTATCAAAGCGATCTTTTTAAACCATTTTTATTTTTTCAACAAGTATAATACACTTTTATAAAGATTACATAATAAATTATCAGACGGTTTAATGTTATAAATTCCACGCTGCACTGGAATTTAAAAGCTTAATTTCCATTTCACCGCCGTACTCTGAGGGGTAGGGTTCATATTCGTGACTGTAATTATTAAGTGAACTAATTTTAAACCTTTATCTCATTAAAAAAAATGGGAAAATTATATATATAAATATAGATAGGCAAAAAATTCCACCTACTAGTAATATAACTTGATTTGTATATAATTGTATATACATATTAATCAAAGCTTTACGTTTTTTAACGTTTAATAATTGAGTCTTTATCTAAAAAACTTAGGGCAAACATTTATTTTATAGAGGAAATGAAAAAAAATCAATTAGATGGAATTTTTTGACTGTCAGTGTATATATATCGTATATATAAATGTGTAGAGATTAGTGACCGTTAATCGATAGTTATTCAGATATCGTGAGATGCTGTCGGTTGTGATGTAGGTTTCAGAAAAACATTTTCTTTATCGTGACAACGTTTCGATCTTTATTGAGATCATCTTCAGGGCCTGGGATTTACAAACAATGTTTACAATTAGCAAATACATTTAGGGTGTGGAAAAGTGAATTTATACAATGCAAAATATATTTAATTAACAGAATAACCAACAACTACAACTCAACACTAACACATTCCACTATTACTAATAATACTACATTAAGTATATCAAATACAAAGAAACAAGCATACATTTCCATGCCATTTATTCAAGGCCTAGCACATAAATTAAACACATTTCTCTCGTCCGATAATTTTAAAATATCTTTCAAAAATTATAAAACAATCCAAAAACTTTTTTCCAAAATTAAAGATCCCACACCAATAACAAATAAATCTGACGTAATCTACAAGATCAACTGTTTAAACTGTCCGGCAACTTACATCGGTCTTACATCCCAATATCTGGACAAGAGAGTAAAGCAACATATCTATGATTGCGAAAAACCCAAGCAAAATCCTACAGCACTCGCTACCCACCACTATGAACACCAACACAATTTTGACTTCAAAAATCCAAAGATTTTACATACAGAACAAAACAAACATAAACGTAATTTTTTAGAAATGGTTTATATCAACAGAGATAAACAGCATCAATTACAGAAGATACATGTAAACTCAGTCGCAGCTACGCCAATATATAGCAATCAAATACAATATAGATCTTGGGCTGCTGACTGGGGTAGACTGGCGGACAGGGTGGGAGTGGGTTTGTCTTTTTCGCAACCCGAGAGTAAGGGTCTCTCTCTTCAACTCCAGTCAATTATTAGTCGACTGAAAGATAGTTTTATGGTGAGCAACATAGAGAGAGTGCAGGCTTCCCGTCGATACCGTATATATAGGATGCTGGATCANTTGTAAATCCCAGGCCCTGAAGATGATCTCAATAAAAGATCGAAACGTTGGCACGATAAAGAAAATGTTTTTCTGAAACCTACATCACAACCGACAGCATCTCACGATATCTGAATAACTGTGTGTGTATGCTTGCGTGCGTGTGTGTGTGCGCGCGCGTGTTTGTGTGTGTGGGTGTGTATTAAGGGAGTAGACTTACTAGTGTCGTCCCCCGCCCTTGGAGCATGCTACAAGTAACTTTGTTTTCTTTATAAATTGTATATTATAAGGATATATGAGTGGAGAAATAATCGATTAATTACTGTCCTAAATTAATATTATTCACTTTTATTACAAAGAAGGAAATCGCAAGGTCATTGGCACTTTAGGCGTCCTGGAGGGTTGTAGGGAATGGTTGAGGATGTAAAGCGTCTCGGGGAAAAGGTTGGGATGAAGGCCCAAGGTTTTATCAAGGCCTATGGACTTCTTCCATTTTCGAGAGCAAATGAGATTGGAGGTCGTGTGGACAGTGACGTAGTAGTGAAGTAGTAGACACTAGTTCTATTCTGTACAGATGTGTTATAGCTTTGACATTTAGAGGCTTTGTTTTGTTCTGAAAGTGTGGATCTGTTATCAAGCAGTCTGTTATTGTGGGTCGTGTGGGGAGGTCCGAAGTAAGTCTTTTGTCGATGTCAAATCCCAATTGCGGAAATCTGATCGCTGAAAGTGAACTTAGAGTTGTGTGGGAAGAGAGGTGAGAGGTTTTTTTACGTCTGATCTTACATTTTTAAACCATTCTTCCAAACAGGAACGATTATCCTGGGGTTTCTGAAGAACGCTGGTCCTGGGTTAGACAAAAGGATCGTCTGCGTATGTGAGGTATACTGTATCGGAATATTTGTTTACACATGTATTGAAAAGAAGATCGGACTAGGAATAATGCGTTGCGGAATCCCTATTGGGCAGTGAGAATGGAGAGAAAGGAAGTTCTGATATCTACTTGAAGTATCTTCAGTCGATGACATTGAATTTGTTTTCATTGAGTCT